AAGTTGCATTAAACTTAATTAATTTTCAATCCAACCTGACATTTCTGTATATTCCTCTAACATCTCAACCAACCTCTTGTAGTTGTACAAAGAAATTTAAAACTTTAGGAGATAATCCCCCATAAAAAAAGTAAAAAAGGGAGGACGAATTCCTCTTGTCAATGACTGTCAGCAAAACAGGGTTGTCTTTGTCTTTAAGCAAAAGTTTCCGTTGGGAAAGTTCGAGGAACAAACTCTCCAGTCTCCAGTGGAAAATGTTACCTGAGTTGTCTGGAGCAGACAAAATTTACAATCAACCCTTACCGTAACTCGTTAGTCCAAATCTCAATCTTACCATTAATGGAGAAAAGTGGAAATGTCAAAATCATACCATCGTCTTCATCCCATCCAATTTCTAGCTAGGTGGAAACATTGACCAGAAAACCTTTAACTTCCAACTTTATTCCGTGCATGAATCCTCCACACATTATTAAAGTTCTAACCCCACCAGTTAAGCCTTCACCAAGCAGGCAGAAGCACGTCAAAGCCACAATTATTAGAGGGAACTATGGGTCACAAGAACACAGAATTGACAGGCGGCTAATCTCCCATTCCAACCTATCTTTGCATGGTGGCTTTGTAATACATATTATCAATTTTGAACACATAAGAATCATTAGTTTCATATGCCAACTTCCAACATATGATGTCAGTTAGTTTGTACTTTGTAATCTTTTTATCCACCACTATGGTTAGAAATACACGTTTTCTTGAGGGATAGATGAATGCCTCGTATCCCCATTTAGTCAATTTGTGCATTTATTGATATTCCCTAGCGTGCCTAATTTGTCTAGATTCCTAATAGAGTAATAGATTCAGTGCCATCTCCCTGTCCTGCATCATATATTTCACATGTAGGCTGTTTTCACATAACGGGTGACTATTTCCTTGCTCATGGTGCTCAAGAGTCAATGAACTGGACACAAAGTTGAGCAAAACTCAACACGTCCTTTGGAAAATTGTATGGCACTAGTAATGGCTGATCCTCAACTGGCATCCTAACAAACCAAGTTCCAACATACAAAATCAAAACTTTGGAATGCATTCAACTTCAGTTAAGTTTCACATGCCTAACTTCATATATTCGACGCCGTCCCAAATTAGTAATCGATTTTCAAAAATAGAAGAAAAAAATCAAGATGTGTGTAATTTGCACTCAGAAAAAAAGTACAGAGTATGTACATTTTGTCACCGAGGTCCAGAAAGTTCCATTGCTTCAATGATGAAAGATGACTCTTCATGAACGTCACTATAATTCCTAGAGAAGCTACAAGCCCTTGTCTCACCAACGTTGGTTCCCCATTGTGATTCCTCCATGCCTGCCTGCACAAGACCTTCCAGGACCTTCAAGACTTCTGACATTTTTGGCCGAAGGTTAGGGTGTGATTGTGTGCACTGCATGGCCAATTCTACTGTTTTTTCCAATTCCACTGCATCAAAACATCCCTTCAAATCCCTATCCACCAATGCTCCCAGCCTCTTCTCCTCATGCAAAGTTTTGACCTGCATCAATCATATAGCATCCATTAAGAATGAGGAAATCAATGACAAACAAGAAATAGAACTTGATTACATTCCTCTGAATTTCTAAACAGCCAACTTGATAAGAGAACCGAAAAGCTATCAAAAGAAATAATCTTATGCCACCATTTTGGCTGGGTTGACATCTAAATATTTACAATGTAGTCATGTATAGTTCTACATCAGTCAATTACCAATAATATGAACAGGCAAACTATAAACACACATCACAATATAAGGGTAGAGTTTGCTATTAAGAATTACTTACCCAGTCAAGAATCATTCCCTTTGGGATTTGACCATTACCAGCATCTGGTGCCTTTTGTCCTGTCATGAGTTCCAAGAGAAGTATCCCAAATCCAAAGACATCTGTCTTGTCTGAGGATTGCCCAGTTGAAAGATACTCTGGGGCAATATGCCCAATGGTACCCCGCACAGCAGTAGTGACATGAGAATCCCTACAATCTAAGAGCTTGGCAAGACCAAAATCCCCAACAACAGCTTCAAAACTCTCATCAAGTAAAATGTTTGCAGCTTTGACATCCCTGTGAATTATTTTTGGATTACACTGCTCATGCAAATATAGAAGTCCACGGGCAGCCCCAACGGCAATGTGCATTCTTCTATTCCAATCTAGAATTGGCTTTTCTCTAGAGGTGTCTGCTAAAGAGAATCAAATCAATTAACTCACAGTAAGAGGGCACAGGGGAACAGTTAGATGAATAAAAATTACTATTTAAGCCACTAGAATTTTAATTTTGAGATTGCATAGCTAAAGATACAAGATTGATACATGGAAAATAGAAAAGGCAGTGATTTTCTCTCACATAGCAATACCCATCAAAAGTCCACATTATTTAGAAAGTACATTGTTCAGTGAACTAGTTGCTTTTAGAAAATTCTGAGTGGAGTTGTGTTTTAAAGATGCATAACAACTTGGCAATCATGCCTGATTCAAATGAATAAATTCCTTCTAACATATAAGTCCAAACTAACCTAGAGACCACACAGAACACACTGGCACCAAAAAGAAACATACCTCTTAAGCAATCTGCAACACTCCCATTTGGCATGTAAGGATAAACAAGCAATCTCTCATCGGGTGTCATGCAGAAGCCATACAGGCGTAAAAGGTTTCTGTGAAGTGCCAAACCAATCATCTCCACTTCAGTCTGAAACTGAACTTCTCCAGTGAAATTTGGATCTTTTAGCCTCTTCACTGCCACAACTATCCTATTTGGAAGGCATCCTTTATAAACAACTCCATATCCTCCTTGCCCTAGAATATTTTTACGACTAAAGTTGCCAGTAGCAATTTGCAATTCACGAAATGAGAACCTCTTTACATGGCCAATTTCAAATTCATAATCTTGATCTGTTGCAATTTCAAGAATTTCAAACACAAGATAAAAACCACATGTTAAAGTATAAAGGAAGAAATAAAGCCAAGAAAATACCATATGATGTAAGCAGAAGCCGAGATCTGCACCAATGCACCCAACAAACAAGCAGCATCACAGAAACCACAAATGTGCAACTGCTGCCTATGGCAACAGAGAGCACCAATCTGTGATTGTGAAGTCCAGTGACACTGGTGGATGAATCTGAGTCTGCAATTAAATCATTGTGCATATGTAACTACATAATTGAAGAGCATCACAGAAAAAGCACTTTGGTAGATGGCATGCTTAGTACCAGTTGCTGGTTTTGACAAATCTGTGCAGATTTGTTCAGATGGAGTGCATAGAAAGCTGTTCCCTGTAATACTAAAAAGACCAATATGGAGCTTCAAATGAATGAAGAATAAAGGATACAACATTATTACCACAAAATATTGAAAATTTAATATATTACAAAAAATAATCCATGGGAATGATACAACAAGACTACAAAACATGATTAAATCACATGTTTGTAATCAATAGCATCAAATATTCCATACCTCATACATACAATACAAGAATTTTTTCTTCAATAATGATAAAATTATGTGCAGCATATATAATGAATGGTATTAGCAAATGAAATACGTGATATGATGTCATCATCATGAAACTATACATGTGGAAATTCAGCTTTTATAGAGAACAATTTTGGAATCTAATATGGCTGTTAAGGGTTCCCAATAAATTCAGAGAGAATTTAACTTCAATTTTCCAAATGAGAATCCATCAGATGCAAACATTTTGAAAATGGAAACCCAACAGATGTATCAATAAAAACATAAAAGGCTAAAACAAGTTGCAAAGATGAAAGAAAACATTGGATGATACAAAATATTAGACAAGAGGTCAAGAGCTAGATAATATATCAAGCAAAGGGAATATATTTTGTCTCGAATCAGTTTCATTTAATGGGAAAGGAAATTAAACTGAATCTAGGAAACAATCTCTTCCAGAAAGAAACTCACCTAAAGCCTTTTGCTAGTATTTTTGGAGTAGGGCCACTGAGATTATTAAATGACAAATCCCTGTATGGCATGACTAATTAATATTCAGCATTTCTACCCAAAAAAAAAAAAAAAAAAAGGCTGCCGTAAGATGGAATACATACAAGAATAAAAGACCAGTGAGACTTGCAACGCGTGTTGGAATGCGTCCGGATAAGTTATTATTACTAACCTTACTGAAAATTTTGCCATGGAAAACGTTTAGAATGCAAATAATCAAAACAAAAGTAACACCAATTGGTAGATCAATGTGCATTAAGAAATGTCAAGCCATACTCACAAGTAATTGAGGTGAGTTAGAGACCCCAAAGAACTTGGAATTCCCCCTATAAACTGATTATCCGAAAGGTCAAGAGTTTGAAGCTCTGAGAGGTTCCCTATCTCACTGGGGATTGGACCAGACAAATGATTGTTTTGCAACAACCTACAAGAATGGAAAATAGGAAGTCTGTGTTGGTGAAGGGGAAGGAAGGTTCAAATGAATTCTCATTTTTTGTTGTGATGAAAAATTAGTGGAAAATGATTATTACACACGCTGGTTCATTTGATTGAGAAGACTAATCGCAGGAGATCATATTACTTTTGATAAAGACAGTTATTTTCACAGAAGCACTATCGTTATTTCCTCTTGCAATACATACTATGAAATGCATGTAATCTACTCTATCAGAATACTTGTTATCTCCTTTAGGATTTAGGAAATTAAATGTGAACTATTCAAACATTTTCATCTTTGGGAGATTAGGGGTGGCTCACATTATCCTTAGATGACTCAAATTCCCAATACTCGGCGAAAGGATCCCTGCCAACCCCATGCTGTCCATTACACTGTCAAAAGAAATTCAGAAAACCAAACTCGACAATTACTTCTTTGTCAAATGTTAACACTGGAATAAATAAAATCAAACGAAATGACCAATGTTTAATAAACCCATTCTGAAAGTAGCTAGAATGGAACGCACAACTCAGTAAATGAAGCTTATTTTTTGGTCAACTATCTTCTAGAACTAGAAACCCAAACAATAATGGCTTAAGACAAAGCGTGACTTACAGTGACTCGACAAACCCTTCACCAGAGCAAGCAACCATGTTCCAAGTACAAGGGTCAACCGAGTTTATATCCCAGCCGCCCATCACACCGTTCTCATCTCTCATCTCCCTCTTCACCGCCATTAATGCAGCCACTGTCATATACACATATCCAGATTCAACCCCAAAATCAACAACAGAACCTCAACAGTAAAACCCCAACAATCTTTAATCAAATTGGACTAAAACCCACCTTCATAGTTCACACCCTTTGGCGATAGAAGACCGATTGCCCCAAAAACGAAGCTCAAAAGCAGCAAAAACACCAACTTGACACGTTCCATTGGATTGAAGGATGACAGAACAAAAGTAGCAGCCGCAACAGCAATAAAAGATTAAAGGAAGTTTTTTTCTTTCTTTTTTCTTTTTTATTTTTCAGCTCAGTTAGCTTTTTGACTTGTGCAAACAAAATCTACTGACAGAATGGAAAAGAGAGATTGGATTGAGACTAAAGCTGAGATTTTTCACAGAGGAAATTATTGTAGTAGGATTCTCTTCGTCTGTCTTGGGAAACTTAATCTAGTAAGGTTTAAAATCACGGGAGCAGGTGAATTAGAGAAAATGGGAAATGTTATGATGCTGTAGGGGAGATGGGGACGGACGGACGACGCAAGTTGCGACGGTGAGGAGTACGATCGGAGGACCAGGAAGAGTGGCTTTTGAAAGCGGGAAAACGGCCTCGAGATTTGTAAAATGAAAGGGATTGTCGCTTTGTCGTTCTCTGGAAGGTACGACCAAATAGGGGTGTGGACCCGGTGTATGGTTGTCTATCGTTTGACTAGATCTGGACCGTTGAGATTCTTACTTGTACTGATGAATACTATCGGACGGTCCGTGTAGGAGTGTTGGTATATTCTTGGAGAGAAGAGAAGACATGTTTTTCCGTAGTTTGAAGTGCTCGGCGTTCCCCGCTGGCGCAAAATTTCAAGCTGCTGGCTGGAGTGGTAGTAGTATTTTTCGGCTTTTGGATGGTCTTTACGGCGTCGTTCTCTCAATAAAGGCATCCAAAGCTGTCTTGAATTAGAGTAGGTTTTACTGAGTTTTCAAGGAAAAGAAGAATTATTGGATGGCTCCATCAATCGGGCAGCAAAGATAATTTCAATACTAGAATTATTGGATGACACAATCAGTCGGCAGCCCTCAACATCTTGGGCCTATCAGTTCAATAATTTATGTTACGTAGTTCATTGAATTTTAAGAAAGGAAGGAGCTAAACTTGGTTAAAAATGATGAAACAAGAGGGAAGGGAGAATAAAGAAAGAGATTGGTGAACAAAAGAACAGTGAACAATCAACAAGATTACATAAGGAACATTGAACCAGAAAGAGAAGATAATCATAATTCATAGGAGGCATGGGTATCTTCTTTTTGATAAATCATGCGCCACATTATCGTGAGTATCATCATTTGATGTTCTCCTATATCCCAACCCGACTAAGAAATTGAGGAACTTTATGAGGCATTCAATCTTTAGTCTAAACAGAGAAAAGCAAAGTGGGAAATAAAGAGAGAGCCATAGCATTACATTTGCACAAACAAGAGTCGTAACAATTTTGTCTGCAATTTCAAGTCAGCCACAATAAACCCACCACAACAACTACAGGGAACAACATGAAAATGAACCAAGCTCAAAAACCAAATGGCCTCCCCCTTGCCTTAGGCCATTCTACCTTCTAGCTACACATACACATATCTCCTCAACTTTATCCTCAGCTAGCAGCTTTCTGATCAGTCCAGCTTACTCTATCTTCACTATGAAACATGTACATCAGGAAAAAGGCATTTAGAAAAGGAAATGATGGAATGGAAAGAAGGATGGAGGTAAACTAGACAAGAAAATGAATTGGAAAGTGCAGCCATCCAGCAGCCGATTACTGTATGAGTCGGTCATGGTAGATTGGAAAAGAAAGCTGGACAGGTCCTTAGCCCAGGAGGAATTCACAAAGTACTTCCTTGGTGCCGCACATCAACTAGCAGATATCTATCTATTCTGCATTGCACTGGTATGATTTTATGTCCCTGCTGTATGCATCATATGTAGTCCCATTTGTCGCTTAACATGGTCTGGTATCAATTTGTTGATGAGTTCTGGTGAAGCCCCAGTTAACTGCAATTAGAGTATCAGGATTAGTAAAAACAATGTCGCATAACTTCAGAAACAAACGAATTTCTTGCAGAAAAGTAATCCGATTAACCAGCCCAATAAAGCAAAAACATAATCCACTCTCCAATCAAACATAAAGGATGCCCATTACTTGGTAAGAAGCTAGGAGACATACTTCCTGTTTAAAGTTGAAAAGTGGTGGTAAAGGGCGACCATTTGGCAGGCGTGCATTAGGTTCCCGAAGTTCGTCAAAGAAGGGATGCACACATGCTTCAAGCTGCAATTGTTAAAAGTGAGTTATCAGCAAACAATGTCAGCACAAATACACATCAAGAACAGGATATTAAAACGGGGAGAAAGGAAAAAAGAGGAGAATTTTCAAGCAAATATTTGGTTATGACTGACTCAGCCACATTCATATAAAGGTGAAAAAAAACCAAGGACAAGGGAGGCTCTAAACTCACCGCTGTACAACGAAGACTTGGTGAATATTGCAGCAGACGTGAAGCAAGATCAATTGCTTCTGGAGGCATCCTTTTGTGAAAAATCTAAATACATGAAAAAATAAATGAATCAGGATTTAACACCATCTAGTACGGTAGTAGAAATTTAAAAGATCAATGCAATAATTAAACAATTTATAAGAATAGAATGCAAACCTTGTGCCATGGGTGTGCTTTGATCTGTGGAAACCTGAAATCTGTATAATTCGGATTCATGCAGCGAATCTCTTCCCGTGTGGGTGTTCCTAGGACCTGAAAGGAACAAGATATAACATCATTCTTGATTCTAGGAAATGCAATGACTCCATGCATTATTAACCAAACTGCACCTTGATAATCTCTACAAGCTGGTCCACTGCATTTTCTCCAGGAAACAAGGGCTAAAAGAAACAGGGAACCATTCCCAGTCAGCAAAAGAAGTTTACACTAAAGAACAGTGTCATTTATTTCAGCAAAATTTTCATCATTAATTGAAATGCAATGGAACATACAAACCTGGCCCAAGAGAAGCTCAGCAAGAACACAACCAGCTGACCAGATATCAATGGACGTTGTATATTCTGTGGCCCCAAAGATAAGTTCAGGAGCCCGATAAAAACGTGAACATATGTATGAAATGTTAGCTTCCCCTTTGACCTGATGACAAGTAAGTTACTGGTAAATACCTTGCAAGGAATCACTTTAAACTCTGATGAACAATGTATCAATGCACAAGATTATATTCCACACTTCATGTGCTAATCACCAATTACTCAGGTTTGGCTCATTAAAATTTTATAAGAAATGGGAAACATTAAAGGATTCACATGGTGAAAAAACAACTGCTCAGCTGACAAATTAAGGCACAAATTTGAATGAAAAGCACTCAGAGAATTAGCAACAGCATCGACCTACCAGCACTTTTGCACTTCCAAAATCACAAATCTTAACCTGGTGAGTAAGAGGATCAACCTGAAGAAAGCCAGAAATTAGGTAAGAGAAAGGGTATAAACCTTTAAACCAAAATCACCAGCAGAGACACATACCAAAAGATTTTGAGGCTTCAAATCCCTATGACAAACTCCAGCAACATTGTGGATGTATGCCAGCCCTCTAAATATCTGAACGGAGAATTCTAATTAATACAAATGACATGCAAAAATAAATCACTTGCAGGAGAAGCAACAAGCATACCTGGTACATGTAAAGTTTGACGTAGATCAGTGGCATTCTTTGATTTGCACTGCTGTAATGCCTCAGAACACGATACATGCTCTCCGGTACGTATTCCATCACCAGGTTGAGAAATAGTTCATTTTTACTTGTTGTGGAGAAGAAACAATGTTTCAAGGAAATTACATTTGGATGATCCAGCAGACGCATCAACTGCAGCTCTCGGTTCTTATATCTTCTGTCCTGTAAGACCTTCTTTATAGCCACAGTCTCCCCCGTTTCCAAGCATTTTGCCTGTGAGGAAAGAAACATCAGCACATCAAATAGAAATAACATACGAATGAGTAGTGGGGAAATATTCAAGTACCTGGAAAACAATTCCAAACGACCCGGTCCCTACAACACGCTCTGCCATATAACTAATAGTCTGCAAGAGTCAAACCACAAAAAACATGAATTCTCAATAAGAAGAAGCTGAATCCTGGCTGGGCCAGTCATCAAACATCGAAATACCAAAGATTTGCAGACATTTGTAACCTTAATTTCAGCAAAATTGAAATCCAGTTGAGAGATAGCATCAAGAAAATGAATACCTGCTTGGGTTCCCCATTTTTGCCCCCAATCGTGGTGGAGATGATCTGACCAGTAACCGCATCATTCCCATCAACAACAGGCGCAGCCATTTCCTGCAAAGAAGAAAAAATTCTCAATCAAGCTATTAAATTAGGCCTTTCTTAATCCAAATATTTTACATCAAGGAGAAAAGGAAACATAAAGAGCCAAATATAAGAGCAGGTACCAACAACACCAACAGATCCATTAACACCGAAAGTAAAAGATGAAGTAAAACAGAATGGATCTTCACCAGCTTAGAAGAGAAATAAGAGATCCATGAGAGGAAATAAGCAGATAAAGATAAATATCTAGAGTAATTACAAAAACATGTAGATAAACCTACACAAACACATATGTATGCCCAACAGAAAACCAAATCAGCTCCAAGAATTCGTTCATATGATCATCAAATCATCAAACCTAAAAACAAAATTCAATGAGATCTAAAACGAAGCTTACCTAAGCTCAAAACACAGATCAGCCAATACAATAACCACAATAACAAAAAGAAAAATCAAAAGAAACGAACGAGAGATCACAGATCGAAACAATATCCCTAGTAAGAAGCTGAGGAGCTCAACACACAAGATCGCCAGAAGAAAAATGGAAACCTAACGCATGTAGGTATCAATTTCCAGCTACATACAACGAAAAAAATAGAAGAGGAAAACAGAGATTCGTCAAACCGGAGAAATTACACCGAAAGTCACAGAAACTTTTGACCGAAAAAAAATTATTTTTAAAAAAAGAAAAAAAAATTTCTCATCTTATCAACAAACTACCAATGTCTTTCCATCAGCCACCAAACAAGTAAATCAAAGGCGAAATGTGCAAACTCCTCCGAGCTCAGAAATCCATTTCCGGTTAGATTCGAGCTTCCGGCAACAAAAGTAAGGACAGCAAAGAAAACAAAAAAAAAGGAGAGATCGGAGAACGAAAGTTCACCTTATCGTCAGCCATGAAGGACGATTGACAGGGAGTGAAGGAGGGAGCGAGGGAGGGAGGTCTAATTGGAGAGAAGGAAGGGAGAGATCATGGCGTGGAAGAAGACGAAGAGGAAGAAGAAGAAGAAGAAGAGAGGAGGACCCAGGGGAGAGACAAGAAACTAATGCCCATGTGAATCCACCTCTTCTCCCTTTCTTTCTTTTTTAATTTTTTCTTTCTTTCACTTTCCGTTCTCCTCTCCGGGCTTCCATTTTTTTTTTTCCTGAGTTCCGATGTTACCCTTTGAATCTAGTGTAATTACGGGATCAGGGATTTGAATTTTGGACAAATCGATAGATAACCGACGTCGGAAATGATTGGGCTTTGCTGCCACGTCACTGCTTTTCTTGTTTCCTCCACCTATTAATTACGTGTAATTAATTATTTATTAATACTTAGTTGGATCCTTTTAACGGGTTAAGGATATTTTATTAATATTAATTATTATTACAAAAATAAAATTTAATATTTATTTGATTAATTATTTAATTAAAATAATATATAATATTAATAATAAATTAATATCAATTATTATTAATTTTTTATAATAATTAATATTAAAAAATATTAATTATACTTATAATCTATATCATAAAGCAAAAAATTAGATATCTCTTATTTAATTTAATCTTTTTTATGTTTATTAATATTTAATTTTATGATTTTTCTATTTGAAAAAAATATTTTGATGCATTCAATTATGGACTCTTGTGAAATAAAATATATAAAGAAAAATAACTTTATCTTATTCTCATTTTTTTTATTTAAATTAAGATTCAAACTTAAAATATTTAATTTTAAATTTTAAATTTTTAAGTGATTAAATCACTTCTTTTAATATATAATTTGAACTATTTGTATTATAAAATATTAATTCTTAAGTCACAACGAGTTCTTAGAGTTGAAAATTTTTTTATTAAAAAAATTTATATTTTATAATTTAAAATAATTTTAAAAAAATAACACACCCTTTTCCATTTTATGTTTTAGTATAGTGGTATCTTTCTTTTTAAACGTAAAAATAAAAAAAT